CGGGACCGCACTGAGGACAGTGCTATGATGGGAGGGGGAAGTGATGTAGTGGCTGACTTGGGGCAGCCATCTTGATTGTTTAACTAATCACTCTCGTTCCCCCCTTTTTCTCGCCAGACCATACAGTGGGGGAAATCACCTCAAGGCTGAAGAGCTGAATGAAGTGATTGGGAGGAAGCAAACAAGCTATGAAAAACCCAAAGAAATCTGATTGGCTGTCGTGTTTCCCCCAGAACTTGCCCCATATATATACCAATGTACATTTTTATTACACACACGTTGCTGCCGGTAAAATAGACGTTTCTTCACTCATCTGACTTCTGCTAAGCGCTGTGGAATCGGAAGCGTTGATTACTCGAACCGTGTCGTTTCCTTGTTGCAGCCAGTCACGTACTACACGTGTGCAGGGTGACCGTGAGCGTGCTGTTCTTACCCAGGCTTATTTTCTTCTGTTCAGATTTGTTAAATTATGCTCGCGGTAACACTTGGCTCTTGTTTTCAATTTGTTTCGAGATCACTTTGAGGTTTGTACAGCTTTTATTTGCTTATTTGATCGTTTATTAATTCAGTACCGTAGAAACTTGCTGAATCATTCGTTTTGTTGACGCTTTGGGATCCGATTTCGGATCCGCGTTATTTAGGAGAAACAGTACTCAAATTTGCACAATTTGGAACAAGAGAATGTCGTTTGAACAAAGAAGGATCGAGGAGGAAGGACAGGAAGTTGCCCGGAAAGTCACTCGGGAATTTGGATTGGAGAGTTTCTGATTCTCACATTTTCAATTCAATTAGTCCCGTTAGTGCTAGGAGTTTATGCGCCCTAGATTGTGATGCTGATGTTAAGATGTTTGATATATCTCTCCATAAGATTGTAGGGTTAGAGCGGGAGATTAGGTCGATGAAACTCAGGGAATCAGAAGCCAGGCAACCCTGCTCGACTAAGCACGTCGGAACGGAAAACTCTGCCCATTAGACTGACGCCGGAAGTGGCTCAGCCACCGATTGAAGCAATGTACTGCCGCATGTCAATAGAACTGCTCCAAGGTGGAGCTAACTCCATTCGACGGGAACCCCAACAACTATTGGAGATTCATCAGAGAATTTGATAATTTCGTCGAGCGTCGGGTCGCCGCTCCAGGGCAGAAATTCCTGTATCTAAAGCATTGCTGCCGCAGAAAGGTTCGAGACGCTATTGGAGAATGTGTGATGTTGCCAAACGAAATTGGGTATAACCGGACATTCTGAAGGAACTCCTTAGCCGACCGCTTCACGTGGCACGGACGCTCATAGACGGGGTGCTAGCCGAGGCCTGTAAAGCGAGAAACGAGCCCGAATCGTTAGTGAGACTGGTAATGAAGATGCAAAACTATTTCATTGCCCTGACTTAAATGAATTACGAAGCTCATTTGAACGCACTACACACCCTAAAGGCATTAGTACGATGCCTGCCGGCTGACATACAACAGCGATGGGCGGAGGAGGCGGTGGTTATTGGCCGTTTGGGGAGGGAACCGAACTTCACCGAGCTAACGAAATTCATCCGAAACCGTGCCAAAGTCGCCAGCAGTCGCTTTGGACAACTCGCCAGCATAAGTAGGAGGGAAGAGAGACATCACACCAAAGAACGAACCTATGAGATTCCGAGAGGTTCTAGGAATACGAATAACTACGCGACAGTAGGGGAACGTGGCAAGCCAAGATGCCCCATGTGTCGTTCGAATCACGAGTTATCCGCGCGCGAGAAGTTTGGGCAACTAGCAGTTTGGACCACCTCACGCGACAAATCGTAAATTGTTAGCAGTTTACTTTACTACCACCACACCTAGCAACGATACAACCAAACAAGCTCTCTAAAGGATGTATGATAAGTAGTTCGATGACCTGAAAGAACAGAAAGGGGGCCATTCCGTAGAAGACAACCAAGCATTAGCAATAGTCAAATCAGGGACACCCTACCAGCCCGACCGGTTCGAGGGGCCGTTGCCACGGAGGACGGGATACGACCGATTGCCAAACAATCGCGGGATAGCCTTAAAAAGGTTAGAGTACCTTAAAAGACGACCGATCCGCGACACAGATCTCCATGGACAATACGCCGCGGAAATGCAACGCAACGTTCAACTGAGATACATAGAACGGTTGGACGTCTCACAACCACGCGGGCAAAAACTGTGGTACTTGCCACACCACTCGGTAACTAATCCCAGAAAGCCAGGGAAGATACGCGTGGTGTTCGACTGTGCGACGCAGTACGGCGGTCCCTCTCCTAACGATTGTTTGTTGCAGGGACCGGACTGGACCATTCCCTTGATTGACGTGCTCAACCGATTCCGGCTAGGAGCAGTTGCAGTGGCAGCCGATATACAAGATATGTTCCTCCAAATCAAGATGCCAGAGGATCAGCGCGACGCCTTGCGATTGCTATGGTGGCCCGATGATGACTTGCAGAACCCGGCGGTAGACTAAATACTGACCGTTCATCCACTCGGAGCGGTTTCCTAGCCCTTTTGCACAAACTTCGCACTTCGGTAGACAAATTTACAGTACGGAAACAACTTCCCGGCCTCGGTGTCAACTAACGTTGCGAATAAGTTCCACGTCGACGACTTCCTGGGCGCCTTTGGCAACGCAAGAGAAGCTTCACAACACGTAATGCAGCTAAAGTATCTACTAGAGAAAGGGGGTTCCATTTAACCAAATGGTTGTCCAACTCACGTTTAGTTGTAGACAACGTTCCCGAAACTGACAGAGTGAGTGGGGCTGTCAATCTGACCACCCAGCCACTCCCTATCGAGCCGACCTTGGGAGTGCGATGGAACGCGGAGTCAAACGAGTTCATCTTTCAACCAAAGCTACCTGACAAGAATTCCACCAGACGAGGGGCGCTATTGTCGGTATCCAGCTTATGCGACCCGCTCGGGTTTGTCGCGCCGTGGTCGTTACCGGCGAAGGTCCTCCTTCAACAACTTTGTCGAAAAAAGACAGAGTGGGATTAGGGTCATCAGGCAACCGTACCGTTTCTCCGCGGACGACTTTAGTCTCACCCAAATCGGCCGGAGTTAGTCCACTCCAGCTTCAGTGAAAGCTACCAACCTGGCTATACTTGGAAACTTGGTAACAAGGCCAGCAGTTGTTTGCTGAATGTAGCACTCTTGCGATGTCAAAAGAGACAGTTATCCACAATGCGCTTCACCGTAGCTCTCTCTTTCACTATCCAAACCCGAGGGCAATAGTATTGAGTAGCTGGTTTTTGTTGTTCGGACTATATGTACGAATGACACGAGCGACTTTTGCTTAACCCCCGACGATAAAGCGGAGAGAAAACACAGCTTGAGACAACAGTCAGTGTGTATTTATCGATTAGATATCGATACGCACATATATAGAGCGAATGGTGCATACAATAACGGCGTAGCGACGCACCAATCAGATTGCGTTCTTGACATATCGATTGATCGATCGGAAAAAACATTGGCTGACACGTTCTGTGATCATCCAAATGGGGTTAGCTTGTCTGGTGTGCTGCGAGCGTGCGTGTGGCCTGACTCAGAGGCTTGCGCGATCGAACGGGTTGCTTAAGCAGATAGTTCAGTCTATGTAGATCTACCTCTTGATTATCGAGCAGTCGATTTGATCCCGTTCTCCAGGGTAACGTCATGTCAAACTGGATTCCGGTGTGTCGTGTCATTTCGGTGACGGTAGCCAGGGCATCTGCTATATCCCCGAACTCGTGGTTATATAGCCGCTCCAGGTCGTCTCCTGTGGGATTATCAGGGCGCGAGATGTAGTTGATTGAGGCTAAGTAATCACCGTCATTTACGAGCGGTCCACAGAGTATCCAACTAAAATCATTCGCACGGCGTACCGATCTCTACGGCCTCCTATCAGTTGGTCTAAAACCCAATGCGCCTCGGGTACGTCACAACCGATCAATATGTCCACTCGCGTGTCCGGAACATCCTCGAACGGCAGATTGTGGTGAGGCCAGCGACGCGTTGACGACCTGATACCTTCGGAAGCACTCATTAGTAGGCCTGAGATAGCAAATACCTGGTGCACCTCCATGGTGTCTTCCTCCGATGTGGAAGCCAACTTAAAACTCAGTTGGGAAGCTAGAACTGCTTGCGTCCCATTAACTGTGCTAATTAGTAGTGAGGCGTTTTGTCCTCCCAAATCGTGTTTGTGCACAAAACTGTCTCTCACAAGGGTGGTATCCAACACATTGTCCAGAAACGCCATGGCTTGGACCAAACCACGCGGAGTGTCCACTTGGATGGTATTATTCCCATGCGGACCGGCCCACTTTATACCCGTCCGATAATGCAGACGGCGTTCGGTATATCCCCCACAGAGTCTTTGTGGGTTATATCGACCCGGCCATTAACTGTTCGTGGTTCGATCCTTCCATCATTGTGTAATAAGGGGTGATGTTGAACACTGCAATTGCCCTTACCACATTTGGTTCGGTTTCTGCATATGGCTGCTCTGTGTGTATCGCTCAAGCATACAAAGGAGGACCCTGTCTTCTTAGCTATTGTCCAACGGTCCGTCACCTTCATTGCCAAACATTCCGGGCAGTCCTGTTCTACGTGCTGTCTACCTAACCTCAACTCATGCTCTTATTCAAAAACCCGCAATCTGAACATACCGATATCCTTAATATCCGAAACAATACATGAAACAGCACTTACAGGACTAGCAGACCTAACATTTTCTAAAGATTCAAAATGACCCACAGCCTTCTCCCCCAGAGACTTCCCGGGTTACTACCTGTTGAATTTCAGTTTCTTGGTTCCTCGTCTAGGCATATGTGAAATAGTTTTCTCGTTTGATTCCAATTTGAGTACTGTACGTCAACCGAATCGCAACTGAATGACGCGTAGCCGAAATTGATACGAATCCTAAAACAAAACGCGATTGATTCGTAATGTTCTACGGTACCGAATTAAGGAAATCATTGCAAAATGTACTATAAAGCATACCTCAAATTTTCGGCTAAACGCACTCAAGCAAGCGAGAGCCAAATAAGATGTTCAGAGAAAGCCAACAAGTCGCTCACGTTCTCCGACTACGTCAAATTCAAATGTGGCGGGCATCGAATCAACATATAAAGAATAATGTGGAGTGTTTGTGATTAAGAAAGGTTAATAGAAAAGCAACACACGAATAGAGTTATGTCACAGAATCATTGTGGGTTTGGAAGGGTATTCAAAAAATCAACATGAAATACAGTCCATGCTATAGCAGTCGGTCTATTTGGCAGTGACCTATTTTTAGTACAACACCTGTTCTCCTCTGGCATAATAATAATAGCACTTTGAGTGAATCACGGAGCAATAGCGAAACGACATTTAGACCCTTACCCCTTACCACATTTTGCAAGCCATTCGTCACTTTCAGCATGACAGCCTCGAACCCGTGAATCACTTCAAAACTTCAAGACCAATATATACCAAACCTACTTTCTCACACAACTTATTATTTTTACTATGTATTTTACCTATGTAACTAGTATTGCAATCCCGCGAGCAAGAGCAGATATTGCTCTCTCAGACTTCCTGTTCTTTCACGTACACACTAAACGAACAGAAAACAAGAGGCGATCAGGTATTCTTTCCATAAAACCAGATAATTAAAAAAAAAACCAGTAACAATACCAACCGGTAGGCGAGTCAGTCCCGGGATACCTCGCAGCCAAAGGCCTCCTCACGTCTTAAAATTTGAAATTTGATATATTTAACCACTAAGCGAGAGCCTCAAACCCGAGAGTTACCTCAAGAACTGATGAATACCGATACCTACTCAATGTGTCATCCTAGTTCGCTTCTGTTCATTCTATTCGTATCTACAGGAGCCCAGAGGATTATTCACAAGCCGTTGCCCATGATTCAGGACGCCTCCATCGCTCACAAGGAGGATTTCACAACTGTTTTCTGGGCTCTTTCTTGTTTCACAAAACAAATAAACCGAATCTCTCGCAGAATCANNCCAGCAGGTGTTTCAACCTCGAATGTGCGCGCGAGCCCTTTTTTATCCGGGTGACATTCGCTAATAATTCCCAAAGGCCATTTGTCTGGTCATAGTAATTCTTCCGCAAGTAGCCCTGAGTAGCCATCTCAAAGACTGCTTTCCATAAGCATCCATTACGGGCATGCCTGCACTGTAGTCAAGTAGTCTTGAGTCAATTAT